TTTCAGCAGTTTTCTGAAAGAAAGTTCAGTAGTGTATACTGTACAAAACTTTGCCAAGTAATTAAAATGCCTCTGTGCCTCAGCTGGTATTTCCCCCCCTCTATATTTGAAATTCCATTTCTGAATCAAACCCAAACAATGTGAATCCCACCCTTGGCATCTACCTTCAGATACCTAGAGTGGAGCCACCGCTCTGGGTGCCACCACCCTCGCAGGGAGGTGGGGACGGCTGCCTGAACGGTGTCAGACCTCCAACGCCGCCGCAGCAGCAGCCGCTGCAGCCGCCGCAGCCGCTGTGCCCTGGCAGTACCCACATCCCTCCACTGACACCAGCCAGGAGCAGCCGCGACCCAGGGGCTGGGACTTCACCAGGCAACCCCACATTGACCACCCAGACTGACTTGCCAGGCAGGAGAGGCCCTGAAATGCCTTCTAACTTCTTGATGAAGGGAAGGAAAATTGCTCCCAGAAACAGGAGAATTCAACACCCGAAGAAATATTGCATAACGTTTTTCCACTAATAGTGGAGGAAAAATGACAAAAAGCACATAAAACCAACTCGCCCCCATGCCGCAAGGTATTCCCAAAGGGTCGGCACCAGGGCAGAGAAAGAGAGGAGCTTGCTGCAGAGTTCTGATGAAACTCAACGTGGTTTTGAAATCTCCAGGGAATGGGCCTTACTTCCTGCCCAGGTCTGGCCTGACAACTGACTTCATTCGGAGTCCGACTTCCCTCTTGATCTCCTGAGCAAGGGATATGGGAGGTGATTACATTTTACAGAGCGTATACGGAGGAGCTGAAGGAGCAAGGTTGTACATGGATGAGGAAGCAAAATATAAACAACTAGGCTGGGCAAGCAAAGTCACAGCCTGGTGCAAGCTGTGGTAGGAAGTTAAGTTGTTACAGCTCTTCTAGGACAGGGTGGTTTGGCATTTTGTTTTAAAATGTTGCTTTGCAAGAGTTTAAATTCCACAGGAAAAACAAAAAAAAGATTTTTTCCACAATTGCAGAGTTTATCTGGGGAGTTTGAGCAAGATACCGGCTGTGGAGCAATTACGCTGAGAGAACTAGAAAGATTTGCAGCTCCCCGAACCACGTCTGGGTAACTGTCAATGGTCTTGGAGCTCCATAAAGTTCCTATTACTGAAATGACTCCCTAGAAGATTTGTGGTGATGTCTTCCTTTCCCAAAACAGAGGAGAAACAGGTTGAGTTAGCCTTGACATCTTTCAGACTAACAAAAAAACCCCCAAGGCCTAATGAGAACCTCTTAGCCTGAACGACAAACCAAATGCATCTGCAATCATGTTTCATTTTAGCAATCTCCCAGTGGCATGAAGCACAGAAGGTTAAAAGGAGACTCAGAAAGGCTCAGTGCTTTAGCATTTAATTTATTTTAAATATTCTATCATACAACAAGATAACAAACAGGTCTGAGGTCAAACTTCCAGTGTACCTGGTGAATTTAGAGGTCCCTGCCCTGTTGAAAGTCGTTGCGACTTGTTTCTAAAAGTTTTAAACTCTGCAAGGAGCTTCTGTAAACATAACCCTGCCACAAGCAGCTTTCTCTGAGTGCTGCAAGACGGCTGTGGTGTATCTGTTTCTTTATCGGCAAGCCTGACGGAAAGGACATATTTTACTGCAAGATACGAGACTTAAATTTTGAGCGTATGCTAGTGAAGTCAACCTACGGTAGCAAGTGCTTAAGTAGTCTCCAGAGGAACAACCTCCCTGGCAACTATTTTTTTTTTCTGGTGTATAGCTTCAACTGTTTAGTCTTCCAAGCAAAACTCCCCTCCTTCCTCTGCGCTCCGCGTGTTGCCCCTCGTGCAGGCTGCTTGTCATATGGAGCCTTCCTAGCAAATGGGAGCAGGATTTTGTAATGACCAGCTGGTAGAAAGAAGGAAAGTACATTGTGTTACTGGGCTGTCAGAGCTGCTTCAAGGCTCACTGTTTAAAACAGCCTTTAAAGACCACAGTGTTAAGCAGTGTATTGAACATCTGCCTGTTGCTAAAAATTGGCTTTTTACAAGACAATCTTGGACTTTTCCGGACGTACAGTAATTTCAGATATTTGTTCCTCGTAATGAGGGCAAAGATTGAGCAGCCCCATCTTACTGGGGACAATTATAAACTCTGAGCAAGACAGATGCCAAGACCATCTGCTTCAAGAAAGACAGCCTTCTTAGCAGCAAGTTGCATGAGGATATGTGGGATATTCCCCCCCCCTTCGCATATGAAAAAAGTCCAAGAAAAAGATGGCACAAGGCCAAAGGAACTATCAAGTTTCCCAGGCAGAACTCCAAGAATGATGGAGATGGTTCACTTTGTTAAACTTCCACTGTGAAAGTAATTGGTATTAATAAAAGTGGCAACATATTGGCACATCATTTCTGAAAGTTACGGATGCATGATCGAGGGGAGCAGAGCGATGATGCTGTGACAGCAGCCCTGCGCTCCAGCTCACACGTATTCCTCCCTGGCAGCACGACACGCTTGCCTCCAGCTCTCCCAAGAAGCTCCTTTTGCCTTGGAGCACTTTGATGCATTCTCCGCCTAATGTTAGAGGAGAATAAATCGGGGGAACTCAAAACCTCCCAATGCTGCCTTTTCCCTGGCTCTCCGCTCACACGCCAAGTTCAGCCTAGGGGTCTCAGTCTAGACTTGTTCTGACCAACATTTCTAACAGACCAACTTCTGGCAAGACATGAAATTCGGAAGATAAGAGAAGGCCATGATTGGAGTTAATTAGCCCAGCAAGAAATCATTTCCCAGGTGGCTGCTGGAAAGACAAGTCTAGACTCACACCACGCAGACACACGCCGTCTATCCTCGCACACAGCAAACTAGCTGCCGACGTGAGCTTTGGAGTCTGCAACTCTCAAGCCGACAAGAGGGAATTATCCTCATAAAAATTCCCCCTGCAGGCTTCCATGCAGATGTGAGAAATTCCACAAAAGATTAACACGGTGACCAACAGTGAGGGACAAAGGATTTTATCTGAAACTTTCTAGGGGAATTTTGATTCTGGGCCTGTTGCAAACATCTAATCCTGATTCATCAACTCCAGCAGAATTGATTGAATCAACATTTCTTTTTTCCCCTAAGACAACACCCAGTATAGTACTACAAAATTATACACGCTTATTTTTATACTTTGTATATAATATGTATATACACACTACATACACACACAAAGTTGTGCCTGGTAGGTGACACATGGAAAAACACAGTACCAGCTACAGAGTAAAGCATTTTATGTATTGTGATTTAAAGGCTTTTAAGCATTTGGGAAGCTAATACACATTCCTGTGAGTTTTTGTATCTGCTCTGTTCCTCCTCTCCTCCCCAATTCCCTGCACTTAGAAGCTGTTAATGGTCAGGGCAGCTGCCACACAGCCATTTAGGAAATTTATTTGAAGAAAACCGTTCCAAATTATTTCAGGCCGCTTTCTCCCGAAGCGACACCCTGGACACAGTGCACACCAGAGCTCAACTCCCAGCTCAGGAGTGTAGTTTTCCCTCTGAAAAGAGCCATGCTGGAAATTCACCCCCTGCAACGCAGCAGCAGCTCACTCCCCCCCCGCGCCCTGAAGAGCGGAGGAAGAAGAGCAGTCTCTTCCCTCCTGGCAGAAGGGACAGGCCCCAGAACACGCCGGCTCTTTGCTCTCACTCCAGGCTCTACCTTTTCCTACCTCAGTACTTGCAGGGCTGCCAAGCTAGGAACACCCAGCTACCACCGGTACAGCGCTTGTGAGAACAGTCTGTGGAGTTTTTCAGGTACACAAGGCTATTGAAAAGGGGAAAACCAGAAACACGTAAGCCTGGTGCAGTTTCCACCGGACGGACAGCAGAAAGACTCTGAAGCTCAAGTTCAGGGAGTTGGTCTAGAAACACATAAGCTCCATGTTCACCCACAAGGGCCTAACTTTAGCAAGTGCTCCTTTCAAAGAGCAGAATTGCCTTGTTAATCAATCCCTCCACAAAAGGAAATTAAACCAAAACACCCACCCCTTTTCCTTCCATCTATACGATCCAAGATTCTTTGTATCTCATCTACAGAAGTGCTTTATCTTCTATTCTGCTGTCAATTAAGGCAATTACTCCTTTGCTATTGTTTATAATTGATGAGCAGTGATTGGATTTATAGTAAACAATATAGTGCAATTCAAAATTGTAATTAAAGACTGATCAATGGGATAAATTTGTTATATGTTTTTATTTCCATTATGTGCTCAAAAAGAGAGTGGGTAAGGAGTTAAAAGGCTTTTTCCTTGCTTCCAGCTTGCATTAGGTTTTGTGTGAATAGTGCAAGAGAATGAGTTTATCTGAATGCTGGTACAACTGTAAATTAAAATACAAAAGGGTAAGAAATATTTTATATGAACACTGCTAGATAGAAGAATTGAATGAAGATAAGCAGACTTTTTATAAAAAGATTTATTAAAAATAAGTTCTTAGAGAAAAAGTGTGACATGTATGTACATTAAATTGTCAACAACTTTATGAGGCTTATAATACAGTGTATTCCAAATTGAACAAGAGACATTCATGTTTTCTTTTTTTTAATAAGTCATGCTTATTGGAACATAACAGCATATGGGATGAAGAAAAACAACACAACACACAACCATTACAGGCAAAATCTTGAAATTAAGGAGTACTTGTAAAGATGAAACTCAGTGATCAGCATGATGCTATTGTTAAATACAGACAGAAACCAAGAGTTTATGAATAGTCTTCAGTTGATACAGTTTATCTGACAACTGCTAGCTTCTGATTAGTTCTTAATTTCTACTGTGAATTAACAGATCTTAGCAAGTGGGCTTGTGTCCTATAAAGACAGAAGTATTCTGGGGACAACAAAATACCACCCCAAACCAGGTAAACAAATGCGTCTTTTCCAGCTCTATTGCAGTAGATATCAAAGATTTCTTCTTAGGAAGACAGTGCTGGTTTTCTCCTTTATCTCCCCACATCTGACAGCCAGAACCACAAAAATAGTTTTTCATAAAATACTTTTATTTTACAAGAGTTTTGCACAAAAAATGACATGACAAACTAACACTTGATTCTGCATGCTTCAGATGACCTTAGCTTCTCATACTCAGAGGTCATATTTAGAACTATGTCCTTTCAGTTCTGTCTTCTGAAGATTTCCCATTTTTCGTGCATATATACAGGTAGCTGAGAACTGCAGTATTACAAATGTCTACTCATCCTTACGGCAAAACTCACTCTAATCTCGGACGTATGCAGGCCTTACATCTTTAGATCTTCGTAGCATCCTCATTAGTCCCATAGTTTAATAAGACCATCCCAGCCACACGTAATGACTTTAGATGTTTCATGTGGATGCCACACTGCACCGATACAGACTTTATCGTGTGCTTTTAATCTGCTGTAGAGTTTTGTTGTCTTCCAGTCCCAGATGTTAAGTTTTCCATCTGCATCTCCAGATATCACATAGCTGTATCAACAGGATTAAAATAAAAGCTGTATCATGCACGAAGACTGCTTGTATTATAATACTTTTACATCGAGCAATGAAAAAGAGCTTCACCCAGTGAGCTTCCTGTCTGACAGTCTGCAAACATACCTACCAAAGAATTAGCATTCGTGCTGTGCTCTGAAGCGCACAAGTCCTGCAGAAGGTGATTCATCAACTGCGAGGTAAATGTGCTAAGCAATGCAATTACAGCATACACTGTGTTACTGGAACTAAAGAGAATATATCAGCAGAAGAGAAAGTGCCAGAAGTTTCTCTAAAATTTATAGACACTTCTCGCCACTTTTTCCTCCAGTTTTGCTGAGGTTATTCTCCACTTTTTATAGTAATGAATATCTTATGTACGTAAAGTAGAAAATGTATGAGTGTACTGAGCAAATAGGATTAAAAAGATGGTTCTCTGAACAATAAATGAGGATACCCACACTCACCAGACCTGCAAATTAGGAAAACCGGGCAAGTCCAAATCCCAGGTATTCTAGACAAGCGCATATTGTGGGAATAGAGCCTGGAGGTTTCTGGGGAGACTGCTGCAGACCATGCACAAAGAGAGCCAGATGCAGGTCAGAAGTGGAAGGCTCCTGTGCTGCACCAGTGCTGGGCAAAATGAGGGGAGTCTCGAGATGGTTTAACAGCAGCGTAGATTATCTTTGCAGAATGGGCAAACTGGACTACATGGGTGATTTTTTAAGTGTTGCTCAGCGCAACCACTCAGTATAACTTAGTCCTATCAAATGACAAGAGCAAACTTCCCGTTCTGCTGCTCAGCCAGAGAACTCTGATGCTGAGTTAATAGGATGGCTGGGCATCAATGAATGTTACAGAGGATTCAAAAAGAAACTTAAGTGTCTGTGCAGGCAAGTTTTAAAACAAAGCTCATTTCCCACAAAAAACTTACCTCATGTCAGGTGAAAAATCCACTTGACAAGCGTAGCCAGCTACCATGTGACCCTTGAAAATTTTCTTTTTGTTTAATCTGAATCTGTTCTGAGCTCCAAAAATCAGAATTTGGTTATCCATCGATTGGCAAGCCAACCATTTCCCTATAAATGCAGTAAACAAAGGTGGTATCAGAGCACCGCACCTGAAGAAACAGACTTAACTGGAAAGTTTTAAGAGATTCTTGTAACTTTTCTTGCACTATCTTAATCCAGATTTTCCTTATGTATCAGGGTTCTAGCTAGCAGCTGATACTGCTTCTGCCTGGTACAACTGCCAAGAGGCAAAACGTTATGTTTGACAGGATTTGGGACGTCTGTTCCTACAAAATGCACTCAGGACTCTAGAAAAGCTCTGGCTGTTACAACAATGTGCTGCGTCAACCCCACTGACTTACTGATAAGTTTTTAAGCTACTGACTAAGATTGCTGGTGCACATAATCAAGTCATCCAGATGAGGTGAAAAACCCCAACTAGCTGCAATCTGATTACCTATTGTGTGGGTACTCTAAGATGGGCACCTTTTATTTTCTTTATGGAAAAATCAGGTCTAAGGTAGACTCAGGAGTTTGAAAATTTTTAAATTTTTGCAAATATTTAGTATTCTCTGTCCTAGTGGAATACAATTTAATAAAGATATTTTAGTGAAAGAAAAAACCCCCAGCTTTTCTAATCTTAACTTCATCTCATTTTGCATCTGGGCAGTGCATTAACTCCTGCCTGAGAATCCAGTGAAGATGATGTGCTATAGAACACCATAGGACAGAGACTTCAGTCCTGAACTCTGCACATCATCACTGCCTTTACAGTATTTTATGCAAACAGTAAACATAGAATGTGCTGACTTGACTGTAAATCTGATCACACTTCCAACTACTAGCTTGGAATTTGAGGGTTTTCTTCAGCCTCCCAAACAAACAAATCGAGTGTGTACCCCAAGCATGTTATTCTCCTCTTCCACTTTTTAAAAGGTCTGCTTACTGCATCACTCAGGAGGAAAATTTTAATTGATGAGATTCATAAATCAATGCCCCTAAGCAGAAAAGGTCCACACCTGTAAAATTTTCAATTTACTTTTCCTTAAAGGACTCATTTAACTCCAAAATGATGCATGATGTGTCTGGCACAATCTGTAGTGTAACTATTCCGAAATAACTTGCTTTGTGTGATATTGACCACCGTATGTCAAGATAATGTTAGTTAATGTGACAGGTGATGTCCTGAGCTGAAAAGATGACTACTTCATCCCTAACATCACATACTGTCTCATCTCAGAAATGAAATACTCAAATGCTGGCCAGCCAGAACTGGAAAAAGAATGAGAAATCTAGTATTTCAATGTGGGAGAATGAGATGAACTGAAAAACTGCATCAGAATACAGCAGGTTGTGCAATTTGAGAAACAGGACTTAAACTAAGCCAGCTTGAGAAGCTAACATTTGTAAATGCGGCTATCTCTTTCTCCAGAACCTTCCTTTTTGTATTAGAACTCCACTTCTATTGTTAAGAATAAAATATTTACACTGCAAAGCAAATACAATTTGGTGCTGATAGCTGGCTGAAAATATTAGCTGTGCAACAAGTTGATCAGCCACTACTCAGCATAATGCGACTCTCAACTGTAAATTTGGCAACGTTTTAGTAATGTTGACACTAAAGCTATTTAATTTTGGCCAAAACAGATAACAGACACTTTTTCCTGTTAGAAGGATTTTCACTGATTACTGGAGGCACTAAACCTTTATTATCCTTCAGTTTGATTCTAACTGAAGAACATACACACTAGCGAAATATTAACATACAAAAACACTGAGACAATTTGGGATTTCTCTTGTGCAAGTTATTTGGGCTATATTCAGAACAGAAAGGAACAGCATGAACAGGATCATGTACAACATCAATCTCTGCTTTAACGGGAGCACCACAAAGACTGCTGAACTTGCTTAGTCTTGATAGCCATCATCAGTTCCCACCACTGTTTCTCTTAATATTTTAAATACAGCAAAGAGCACATCATAGCTCTATGAAAAGAAAGAGTCCTTTTGCCCTGTCTGGATGAAGGTCTAAATTTAAATTGATAGTTATCCTGATATAACCCCTCATTTTGACATACTTGCTCTTTTTAAGGCTTTAAAAATCAGAACCAGATCCAATCCAATCTTGGAATAAATGCACACACTGATTTTGGGTGGGGGGGAGTAGTGGGGGGTGGCAGGGGGATGCAACAAGGCAACATTACAGACATATAATCAACAAGACACATCTACATAAACTAGGTCTAAGGTGGCAGTAAAGTGTTAACCTACCATTTGGAGACAAAGTCACGGCTGGCATCGAATGCATACTTGGCTCAGCTATGTACTTGAAGTCTACAGGAATGTCCCTGCAAAAGGAAGAAGTATGTGTTTTATGAAGAAGTGGAGATGTTCCAAAGGCCTGCCTGCAGTCAGCTGATTTACTAAGCCACTGAACCACGGAGAGCATATGGTGGTGTCCAAAGGAAAAACGTCCAAAAGCTTTAAAATATTATGAATGCCCACCTAGAGAGCACCAGCGGTCAAGCCATCTACAGGATAACCTGATAGAGTGTCAAATGAGCCAGAGTATAAAGCAGAATCATAATTCCAATTGTTAAGAGTAAAACTAACACAAAGACACTCTATTACCTCCAGTTTAACTGCAGGTCTTACAAAATTCTTATATAGGTAACGAGAACAGACTGATCTATGTATGCGTTTTACTGGAATGTCTTACTGGCTTCACTTTTGTTTAAACTAGAATATTTCTGTCTTGTACTTTGAAGGAAAACAGGAGTTTCTCTCCCTCGTGTCTCTCTGACAGTGCCCTTTTCCTCCTGCTCTCCCCAAATGGGATGCCAACCAATTCCAAATGTTCACAGCTGAACCAAACCGTAACTGAATCGAGACTCCTTGGTCTCAATTCCATACAGGACTATGCCAGTGTATGTGAAGAACATACACTGTCCTGTACAAAGGCATGTGGACCAAGGGAAGAAACAAATACAGTCTAATCCTTACTCCACAGAATTGTCATTTGGTTTTGACTATATAAATTGAATTACTAACGGGCCGTGCATATTCACAGTATTCCTCATACACTAGAAGGCTTGTAAAAAGGGAAGGCATGCACGTGTCTTTCTCATTAAGCAAAAGAAATCTCCAGCAGAAAATATATTTGATTAATGTATTCAGCAGAAAACACCAAAACACCAAAATGTTCTGTAGCAACATTAATTAATATAAAGAGGACAGTTATGACTTCATTGTCTAATTCACACAGTAGAAGGGCTGCTGGGACACTATCAGAGCAGAGAGCGTGGGTGGCTGCCTTGTACTCACTGACCGAGCCTTGCTGAATGGCAATATGGTCGATATTAGCAAGTTAATTACAATTTTATCATGGAGTAAGTTATTTCCCATCATGTTGTGTTAATCAACGTGCACATGGGCAGCAGGGTGAGAAGCTGCTCTGTTGTCAGGAAGCAAGACAAATGCTCCTATGAGTTAAATGTTAAAATCATTTACCCCTCAGAATAAGAAGGGCAACCCACTTAATACACTCTACAGACAAGAGCGTGCGCAGGGATAACTGGCTTCCAAACAGGCAGACCTAAGACTACTGCTGGACAGTAAATCTGTGAAGGATTAACAAAAAATCCACATAATCTCTGAGGCTGACCAACATGACAGCACAGGAAGTGCAGCCCCCTGTGCCTCAGCTCATCCTTTTGCATCAATACCCAAACAGTTTCACACCTCTTTGGCAACAGGACACAAGCTCTTCACAGCAGCAAGGCCAGATCCTGATCAACTCCCAATACCCAACACTCCCTTAGCCCACTAGTCATCTGAAGTCCTCAATGCCAGGTAAAAGCAATCCCATTGGAAGCCTCGTTAAAAAGAGTCGCATCACAGAAAATGCATCTCCAACGCCGACTTGTACTGCAGTGAGAAATTTAAATGCAGCACAGGTCGTCCTGCCTTCTCTCCCTTTACAAATGAAGGCAGGCTCATCTGGTGGAATTTATTCAAGACAGCTCTGCTTTATGTTGAAGCTTACCAGACACACTTAGGACAGCTGCAGGATATGCTGCATTAAGCTATTAGGCAGAATAAAGAGATACGTTTATGTTTCACATTTGCATCCAGTCAAATTGCTAAATGAGTAATATCAGTCTGCTGCTTTAAAAAAAAAAAATTACCAAGAAAGAGGCTGTCATGGTTGCCTGACCTCAAAACACATGTGATATATTGTTTGTTGAAATTTTTAAATTTAAAGATCTTCAAGTCCTTTCCCCACTTCATAGCATTTCAAAGGCTGAGAAGTTTTAATATCAAAAGCAGTATATCTGCTAGTCAAGATTTAGAAATGTGATGCTCTGGGGTTCTACTACAACTTCTTCCCCAAGCAGGAGAGAGCAAAATCCTTTTAAAGAAACAGGTAAAAATCAACAACCCCAAACCCAACCCAACCCAATTTTGGGATCTGCACATCCTGAAGGGCTCTCTCAGGAGACTACAGTATCTTTACCAGGAACAATGGAGAGAAAATGCCTGCTGAGGGGTATCGCTTTACAGAGATTGACAAGCCTCCTAAGCCTGTCAGGATAATGACTAAGCTACCACCATACAGTTCTTGTGCTGCTAGCTGACTTGAAGGTAAAAGGAAATAAAAGCCTCCAAGGTCAATTGCCCAAATCATTTCACTGCTATCCAAGTAGGATCAGATGCACATGAAGCGGACAAAGACAAAATAACATTCTGCATTTCTAGAAGAAAGAACACAGAATATGATACCTATGGCAACTGTAATATCACTGCTGTAATAATACAATCACACAAAATGCAAAAGCAGACAAATTTTAAAGTACTCCCATTAAAACTCCTAAAGAAACCATTTAATCTGCAAGAGTCTGTGCTGTAGTTGCAGTCTGAATTTTCAGCAACTAACCAATTCAGTGTACAGCACAGTGAAATCTGTGCACAGGGTGAACTCCTGGGGAAAGGAGATTTAAATTCCCAGGGGAATAGTTCCTCAATGTGATGAAGTCTGACATGGCATCCCATTACTGGCTCTGGCCAAGTCAAAGTGTTTACAAAACATACTATAAAATTCCTCTGGACAATTGAAACTAAGCAATTAGACCAGCTTTAATTACTGGCTTTTAAGGCCATACTCAGGTCATAATTACTTCTTTGTTTCTGTAGCATAATGAAGAAATATTGTGCTGAAGAACATATGAAGAAACATGCCAAAAGGTACAGTAACCAAATCACCCTAAGTTACAAATAATTTTCCTTATGAACTTATGAAAAAAGGATTTGAGGTGCAGCATGAAATAATTTGCTATGAAGTTTTCAAGCTCCAAAAGCTTCTATACCAAATACATTAACTTAGTCTTATTGCATTGTAAAAATCTGGATCTTGAAATTATAGAAATATGTCTACAGACCAATTAACATATATCATGGCAGGTTGTGGAGAAAGGTTTTCAAGCCATGGCTAGGAAGACAGCATTACATTTGCTTTTTATAAAACAAAAAAAAAATCCCCAATGACTGTATTACATAATATTGCCCACAGTTGAGTTCCCTATTACCTGAACAAGGGAGCTCTTTCTTCAGCATACAGCAAGCGCAGTACATGTTTTTTTATTCTGAAGGAAAAAACTTCTGCTACTGGAACAATCAGGTTGCAATGTTCCCATGCCAGAACCTTTTTGCCTTTCCTGCTCTTCCCCACAGAGTGACTAAATCCACCCACTTCACTATTTATTTCAGCCATCAACACAAAGCTCACAAAACAAGGGCAATCCATTCTCAAGGAAAGAACAGATTTGTGCAAGTGAGATCCTCCTCCCACTCGCCAGAGAGGAGACATTCCTTAGCAGATATGATATTGTAAAGATTTTTCTTTAAGAAGCTCAGTAAATACATGGGTCCAACTATAAAGTACTGAACAGTGGCTCTCCTGGAGTGACATATGGTGACAGCATTACATGTCTAGCCTAAGCCTGAGTTCCCAGGTCATTACCACTGCTGCTACTGGCAACGATAGCAGCCGATTACAGACACGCTGAGGGTTTTGCTGGCTGCTGGGGTAACATTCAAATACCACAGATTGGAGTCTCTTGTCTAGGTTTAAAAAAAAAAAAGCTAGGAAGGAACTGATTAGTCACAGAGCTGTCGAACTAGTGTCCGTATTGTGCAACAGCTTTGCATGTGTGAACAGCAAAAGGAAATGGAGAGATACTGGAGTGATTATTTCAAAAAGAAATTTGAAATCCTAAAGAAATCTTAGGAGAGTCCTATGCTGAAAACCTTAATACCTAGAACCTTGCGGAAAACATTTCAGATAGGAGAGATTTGTTTTCTCCCCGGATATGTTAAAAATTAGAAGCCATTTAAAATGATGTTTCTTATGAATTTTTCTTGGATAGCTTTCACTTTTCTGTCATCTATTGTATTCATACTGTGGGTATCCACGATTGCCAAAAACCCCAGACTACCACAAAACCAGAAATGAAGCTACGCTAAACTAGTTATTTCATACATGGGCCAAATATTACACAATACTATGCACATCCAAGTTCAAAGCATTCAAAAATGACATGCACTAATGTAACAGAGCAGACATTTCTTTAAAAGGTTAATTTAAGGGCTAATACACCCTTGGGGAAAGGAGAGAGAACAGAGATAACTTCAGACTGACAGGGCTGTCTTGTGCTTTCTTTGGGCGAAGAGAAAATCTATGAAGTGTCTTGAGCATTAAGCCAGAATAGTTTTAAAGCTAGCTCTTTCTCAGCTAGCTAGAGCTCAGTACACTCCAGTGTCCTATGTACTACGTATCCTTTTAAAAATAAATTCTCTTCTCAGTTTGCTTATAATATTCTTTAAATATTTTAAACTTACCATTCCCAGACTCTTAAACTCTTGTCATCAGATGTGCTCACAAACCTTCTATTTTCATCCACAAACACAATGGTGTTGACAGCTCCCAAATGCCTATCGTATTCCTGCACGATCTCACCACTTCGAATATCCCACTACAAACAAAAAAGTCAGAATAAGACTTTGTTTTTTTACTAAATATCAGAATTTTTAGAGGAAGAGATATGAGCTAGACATACCTGCACAATTTTCTTATCTGACATTCCTGCCACAAAGAGATTTTGTTTATCTTCGTCAGGATTGAACTTGACACAGTAAGGAACCTTCCTGTTTGTGAATCTTGAAATACATTGCCCTGCAACAGACAAGCCATTCATAGTGCATTAGGTTGGAAGTTCTATGGGCTGATTAGTTCTTTGCAGATATTGATAAAAACCCCATTCAGTTTACTTCTACTTTACTAACAGCAGAAAATACTTGTTTTAAAGAGGATTAGAGGGTAGAGTTTACCCTGCTCTTTGATTAGACCTTCTTTCACATGTTTGAATGCAAGCACCTGTATAAACACATACAAACCGTTCTGTACCTTTACTATAGCTTTCCAAACATGTAACTGCTCAGTACCCTGTATGTCATAAGAGCATAACAAGGACATCAGGACTGGTCAGGATATCACAAGCTGACCACTGTCTTTGCAAAATATCACCTCTTTAGGATCAGAGGTCTTCCTGACCTGAGACTTAAACTCAGGCAAGAATTCCTCGATTCTAAGCCTAGAAAAGGATAACAGTAATCCAGCTGCAAAACAGACCACTGACCTCTTCTCATAGCCTCAGCCATAAATACCCTGATTACATGTTATCCTTAACTTACAGGAGCCTGTTTTAATCTGAAAGCTCAATACATTTTTCAGATGTCTAAATAACCGAGTTCAGACTCAAGACTGGAGAATTTGACTTTTACCTTTCTGGCTGTCACCTGTGTAAGACTAGTGGCACTGCTAACCAAGAAGGCTAATGTCTTTTTCAAACATGGAAACTTCCTGTCTTAGGAACAGACTTAAGCTTAAAATAACATTGACAAAATCTATCCTGTATCTTTTTAGTTTAAGAAACTATTCGGAGCAGAACATTGCAGAGCATCTTCCAGGCAGTCCTGTGAGAGCATCAAACCTACCCTCCACTCCCTATAGCAGCATCTTTTCTTATTTAGAGTGCTCTTCAAGTTCAGGTTAACTGAAAGATCAAGTGAAATAATTCTTTTAAATTAAGCATATTTAGATCTAAAGTGTGATTTCACTACTTAATTTTATGCCTGTAAATGTAAACATGCAATTAACTGATTTGGTAAAATTTTGTCTTTTTGCTGAAAATTGTTCTAGCATGACAGATAACTATAAAACTTCTCAAATAAAAGGGTATATGAAATACAAGTATATAGGTAGTGTCAATTACACCGTTACAGATAACAAAAAAAAAATTCTGGAAAAAAAGACTATTCATTCTGAACACTGAACTACAAGATGATATTAAGGATAATTGGAGACCAACTGACTGATAATATATATTGCTATTTGCTACTAATTGAACATAGTGCCAAATAACAGCATCTAGAAATACAAGCCTACCTGTTTCAGTGTCCCAGAGTTTAAGATAGCGGTCATATGCAGCACTAAGAAACCGAGTGCCAGCATTATTAAAACAGATGTCTCGAACAGCTTTACTATGTCCTACAAGATAGAAAAAATGCTATGATAAACTTTTATCCATTCATGCTTAGAATTAATTTTTTTTAAAAAAAAATATTATACGTTAAATGCTCCGGTCTTCAACAATGCAAAGAGAACAGGAAATTATTTATTGAGGTTCTTAATGAGCACTAGTAAAGACTGATTCAAGTGAGAAAGAAAAAGTAACTCCTAAAGAACAATGAGAATAAAACCCCCAAATCCCTACACCTCTAAAGCACTGGAGAAAGAAACAATAGCATTGCACAGAACCAACCACTGTGCATCATTCATAAACTGATACACAAGCAGAACTTCAAGCACTGTTGGTTTCAAAAATTGTTCTGGTCCCAGTTAAGAGCTGCAAGAGAAGTTTAACACACGGTAGTAATTGTAAATATCTAATGAAAAAGAGGAGAGGCAAACACTACAGGAGATACATTTAAAGGAGAAACATTTAAAATTAGAAAACAGCTACAAAATATGAGAAATAGGAGATCAGAGAATTATGAATGCTTTCATCTGGTGTTCACCTTGCTCCCCCTCAACTCCAATACTTACATCTGACCACTGCATCAGACTTGTAGGAGATCTCTTTAGTTAAAATACTGGCACAGTAACTTAAAAATATTGGCACAGTAATTTAAAAATAGCAAAACAACAGGTGAATCTGGTTGATAATAAGGACCTTTTGAGGAAAAACAGTCAAACTGTTCATAAAGAGCAGTCTATTGAGAGAGAACCTTTTCTGAGCCATCATCTTTGCCACACTGCTGTCAGAAATATTAAGTGAAAAAAAGACTTCTTTGTTGTTACTCAACATATATTCACTGTGTTCTAGACATATTCCCATTTCAAAAGGAGAATCAGCTGCTTTTGTTCTGCATTCAAAGCTGCTAAGAAGTTTGTATTTCTCTCTCGGCTACCTGCTTTAAAAAGCACCTGTTACATGAACGAAGATGGCACTCAAACCTAAAAAAACCAAAACCAACTAAATCCCATGCTTTTGCACTAGAAACTCAGCACAGAAGAGACCATCTATTTAAGGTGGGATCATCAGACCACAAGATGCCATCACTGCATAAATAGAGAGGGCTGCTGTTCTCAACATGAAGATAGGGCAATTCAATTTCACAATTTTGCAAGAGGAGTCTTGCATAAAGTATTGATGACTGCAGTACACTAATGTTTTAAGGGTTGTAAGGTCTTGTACATCAACATTACATTGCTTGGAATGACAAAGGTTCACTAAAAACTTGCACCTTTTTCAATTCTTATTGCAAGATCATACTGAATACCATTTGCCTTGGATGCCTACAAGTGCTCTCTATGATAAATTAATAAGCTAAGCTAACCTAAATCATATCCTTCCATGAAGTTGTTTTAAATATACATCAGTTTTAAAAAAAGACTATTACCAATAAATGTTCGTAGACATCTTCGATCACCATATACTTCCCACAGCTTAAAAAAAAAAAGGGGTGGAGAGAAAAGATGTCAATTGTTAAATAATAATGATGCTGAAATTAAGTGCAAACATATATGGCAACATCTTTTAAGAAATTAACTACAAACATATGACATCTACATCAGTAGATGTAGTCATAACTATCTATCCAGAAATTCACAAGAATGCTCTGTCACCTTCTTGTTAGCAAAATCCCCTTAAAATAACTAAAACCCCCATACCATACTCCAACTTTAAAGCCCTAAGATTTTGCTAGTAAAAAAAATAATCAGCAGCTTTCTAATATGATGTATGCTGGACTAAAATGAGATTAATTAAAGACCACAAATGCTTCAGGTAAAACACTTCCAACAGAAGCCTATTGCTAGTTGTAAAACTAGGCTTCACAGAAAATGAATTATTATAACAACAAAGGCAATAACCTGAGGAACTTGTGACCTTCTAAATGCTATTACTAAATGATTAAGATTGTTCAAACACCCACAATCATGTATTATTTCTATCTTTGTTCCAATGAATTTGTTTTTTAAAATTCAAGTGAGAAAAATAAAAGACAGACAAAAGGTATTTGGTAGAAGTACCAAGTGTTTAAGTATTCTAAAATGCATTTTCTGTATTCAACAGTGGTATAAAATATATACATGAAACCAGAAAAATAACTGACCTTAATTTTGCAATCCATAGAGCAAGACAACAGTATATGCCCAGAGAGAGGAAACAACCTAACTGCACTGACACCCTGTAAATAAGGACAGAATTAAACAGTAAGTGGAACATCTAGCTATTTCCTCAGTTTATTTGCCCTCTTTTCTAAGCAAAAAGCTAAAGCTTATCTTAAAAAAAAAAATACAGATACTGTATCTTGAAAAGAAATAACTGACCCACATTCCATTTTAGAAACAGCGATGTGTTTCGAACAATTGTTATTGGCAACAAGTTGGTTCACTTCAACAGCTCTACATACACCCTCCTTCAACACTCACACCATTATGCTGGTAAACATGCAAAGAAATACAAATTGTGGGTTTGGGTGACTGTTTCTGTATAACGCCTTTTCACGTGCGACAGGTTAGGAATTTTTTCACAAAAAAAGTTTCTGGCCAGCTCCATTTCTTACATATACTACCAGTGGCTTCTACCCACTGAACTCAGATTCCCTGGGCACAGCTTCTTCCCATCTATCTATATTTCAGGTATCCCTTTCAGACGAAGTCCAAAGAATCACCAAGTACTCATGGTTTCGCATCCCTTCTTTCAGTTTCATGTCAATTATTCATATTCCATCAAGTTCCTCCCACCCCCGGTTGGAGTTGGGTGCTTTATCCTCCCTATTGTTGTCTACTTAGATCCTCCAGCTTTTCTAGATTTGTCAGCCCATCTTTCTTTTGCTTCTCTCATAGCTATCGTTATTCATCTCTTGTTTGAAGGAAAAAGCTATTTTATGCATCGGTATATTCTAATAGGATAATAGGCAGAGGAGTGACTAGAGCTTTGGCGAGCAGATGTTATTCTGGAAAGCACTGATAGTTGCAACTACAAGCTCTTTGCAGCAATCATTAAAGAAGAGTTCAGAGTTGTGACTCAACTGAAAAAAGGGTAAAAGCTAAAACTGTTCCCTGTGTCCTCCTTTCTTTCATCTTTCAGTTATCATTAAGGTGCTGTCCACTGCAGCACAGCATATTCCCTGGAGCAATACTGAAAATTAGAGACAAAAGAAGCAGCAAATTGAGTATAAGCTTTACAAACCTGATCAGTGAAACACTTCGATACCAAAATTACATATATAGTTACGGGCTCTAGCACAACGAGAAACTGTAAATGTTAAGTAGCATCACCACAGAAAACTCTTAACAAGGCACACCTTTCAAAGGTAATAGCTGTAATGCTGATGCATCATAATCACAAAACCTATGTAACTTTTCTTAAGTTTGATATGAGATAGCCCTTAAGTACTTTTACTATTAAAAAAACCCCCCCAAACAACCAACATTTTCAGAGATATCTAGAATTAGCCTTATTCTTATTCGCATGGTAGTTCAGGAAATAACTACAAATCCCACGGAAGTTACTGAATAATATTTGTCCCTTTAAAGGAGGTCAGGAAGTCACTACATTCATGAAAAAGTATATGCAGGCAAACAACTGCATTTGAGCACGCAAACACCTTGTGGGAGCATGTAATGCAACCAATTACATGTGTAATGTGTAAATATGAAAATACTCCTTCTTTCTACTGATACTTCAGTTTTATACAAGTTACTAGCTTCAGACACAAAATGAAGTGGGTTTTTTATGATGCAGGCTCACAAACACGACTTCCTACCTTTGTATGTCCAGACCACACATGGATTTGTTTCTTTGGAAGATAGCACTTCTCAGGTGGCACTGTAGAACGGAGATTAACTCCAACATCTTGAGGGACATGAAGATAAGATCTCCCCTGATAGTCATACATTTCCTTAACTGAAAAGGTAAACACAGAATTCTGAGAATCCAAGAGCCTGTATTTTAAGAGGTTACAATCTTTGAAAGGCTCAACAGCTACACACAATTAAGGTTTTTCTCAACACAGCTGCTCTGCTGTGATCTTGGGGGAGAAAAAAAAAAAAGAAAACCTCCACTTCATAGGACACAGATGTGGAATCTTATTTGACATCAGTTGAGCTCAAGTTAAGTCATTTCAGCAAAGTCTGCTTGGAATTTGATAATCTGAATATTAAGACAATTTCCCCCCTACACATCTTACCCCTCATCAAACAGCACCAGTGTTCCTCAGGCCAACAAGGGTTTGCTTACGCTAACTGTACACGTATTATAATGTGCAACTCTAACCCTGGCATTTGCTTGCAATTCACATTCCAGTCAGCTCTGTGCTGTGTCAGTCACATCAACAGAATTACAAACCAGAGGAAAAAAAAAAAAATCCACTGGGCCAATGTGAACCAATATTGGTCAGTGGTAGCCAACAGCTGTTCTTTAACCAGATTTAAGAAGTGATTGGACAGCCAGACATGCAGGGGTGCATTGTGCATGGAAATGGGTATTTCAGAGTAGACTTGTGTTGGATAGCCATTACATTAAGCTGTACACTGATTAATTTCTCAGTTTCTGGGATATTGTCATGGCAGTTTTGGTTGTACAAGCGACCTCCTGCACAGTATCAAAGTTTACACATCTACAAAATGGCATATTTCTGGAATGTTTGTGTTTGAGAAGATTAAAGTTTATTATCATGTAAGGTCTTTCACTGTGAAACCTCAGGTAGAGACCATGAAAAGTTGGATACAAAATAATTATTCTATAGGAGGCTCCAGGGCTAAATTTTCAGGTTTGTTATGCTCATCACTATTCAATAAATATTGTCATGATCCACTACATATAAACAGAATGAAGTACTAATGTCAGCAACACCTATCTCATAGCTACTTCTTCTTTAATATATATAAGAAAGGATGCTCCAGTTTGTTCATGTGAGCCTGGCTGTAGAAAGTGGTAAACAAAGAGAGACTCTGTTTACCTAACCACCTGTGCCAAACAATCTAAGGCAGGACTGGTTTACATGCAGAGTGGAAATAACACTTTCCAGAAATCACTTGATTTTACTTACTTACCAAACCATTTTCTTTGAAGGTACCACATGCTATAGGCTTCTATAGGGTAATTATTTGATACACAATTATTCATAGTATGACATTAAGAATTGAGGAAGCATAAAGTCCAAGTGATTTTCTAAATTGTAGGTAAGCCATAACTCAAAGCACTACCTGATGAAAGTACTGACACATAAAACTGCAGCAATTCTGAAGCTGAAACTAAGCCAAACTCATAACTTTAAAATGTTTGCTCTGTAAAACAGGAAAGGGATATGTGCATCTAGTACCATTAAAAATAAATAAATAAACCCAGTATCCTGAAAGATGACATTTACACGCTGCTCTTCACAGTATGAGGTGGAATTAGTCCAAGTTTATCTCTTTCTCTGTCCTTTATGCTTATGCCTGTGAGTGCTATTATCTCCAATACAGAAACATCAAGGTGCCTCAGCAAAACTGCTGAGGCTGTCTGCCATCCTTACTAATTAACACAGCAGGCAAGAAAACACAGTGAGCAAGAAAATGAGAACAGTCAGGAAGATGCCATTACCATGTAATATAGTCTTCTCCTCTCCAGGTTTATCATCTTCTAGTTTTCCTCTCTTCTGCCTCTTAGCTGTTATTTCGTCCAACTCCTTCTGTTCTTCCTGGAAGCATAAAACATGATCTCAACTTAAAAATTCAGCATTGAGAATCACACAACAAAATGCAGAACTGATGGATTTACTTAGTATTAAGAACGCATTTATTTGCTAAATGAGATTAGAAATATTTCTAAGCATCAAAGAGAATACCTTTATCAAATGCAGAATAATTAAAGAAGCTACGTACACTGAGAAGAATCAAATATATTTTTATTCATAGACTACAGCTAAGCATCACTAAACAAGAAGGATGTTTGTCAGCTGGAGAGGAGTTTTTTAGGGTAATTGTTTTTCTGTTTGTATTTTTCTTTTCTTTTTTAAAAAAGTTTTACTTTCAGTTCTTTTCAAGCTGCTTCTGGTTATAAAGATCTTTTAATCAGACTCTACACACAGATACAATTAATTTTATTTCCAAACAGTCTTGCAAATAGTTGAGCACAGAATATTCTGAACACCTTATTTGGACACATCACCTGAAATGTTTCTATCACTCTAAAGCATAGCATAGATCTTCTGCTTGGAAAAACTAGTAGCACAGCTGTATCTCTGTTTAAAACACTGCAACGTACTAAAAATTTGTACCTCTTGTGTTAAAGTAGTACTTACTTCTGATGGTTTGGCTACTTCTTTTTCATCAACATACTTCGCCCATGGTCCCAGAAAACCATCAATATTAGATGCATCATTCTCCTTGAATTTCTTCCTTTTTTCAATTTTCCTTTGTCCTGTTTCAAACACTGTTAAACCTGAAGAAAGAAACAATACATCACCTAGCTGCTAACACAGAATACAACATCACAGGTCATATCAAAGAAAAAAACCACCATCACCACTCCTTCCAATACACAATGCAAAATGGAAGAAGCATTTGAGCAAAACTGACCAAAGCATTGTCAACTTTTCTAACTATGAACACTGCTATGTACAGTAACAGAGGAACCACTTAAACTACGCGTCATGGTTGGTTAGAGTACTTAACCATGCATGTACCCATGCATTTTTAACAATAAGTCTACAGACTGTATGAATACATCAATTTTCATACTTTGAATAGTGCAGTGTTTGAAAGAGTAGAGTCCTAACAATTGGCTTCTGATCCCATCACCTCTCTGTTTCTAAAAAAACCCAACAAACCCGAAAGCCAAAATAAGACAAATCTCCAAAACCCCAAACACAACTGTGTATTTTAATTTACTAAAAAGTCATACAATCATAGAATGGTTTGGGTTGGAAAGAACCTTTAAAAGTCATCTAGTCCAACATCCCCTGCAATGAGCAGGGACATCTTCAACCAGATCAGGTTGCTAAGAGCCCCGTCCAACCTGACCTCAAATGCTTCTGGGGGTGAGGCATCTACCACCTCTCTGAGCAACCTGTTCCAGTGTTTCACCACCCTCACTGTAAAAAACATCTTCCTTATCTCTAGTCTGAACCTACCCTCTTTTAGTTTAAAACCATTATCTGTTGTCCTATTGCTATAGGCCCTATTAAAAAGTTTGTGCCCATTGACATGGTAATCTCCCTCCAATGACTATCTTGTTCTTTCATATAAATGATCGCTTTTCACAAATGCTATGCCCTCAGAATTTCATTTGTCAAAACCATTAAACAATATAGATATGGGATGAAAAAAATAAAAGTTAAAAGATGTTAAAGTAATAACTTAAATGTTTTTCAAAAGGTTTCATAGACAATTACGTGCAATTTTCAAACAATGTTTTCCTACAGCATCAGTAATACTCATCTAGTGCAAAGGGGCCAAAAAGAGCTTTGTATAAGCAAGGGGAAATAGGCAATGTAAAAATTAATGATTATATGAAGGAATCATACATTAATGAAGTTTTCTTAAAATAAATTACTAAAATTCCATTATGAAAAGATTATTTTTGTATTTTTGAAATTATTTAACTTTAGCCATTTCTGTCTAAAGTCTGTAGCTGCTATACCAAAATAAGTCTATTTTCTTTGTCTTACTTAGAGTGATATAACCTTGGATATATTCCCTGGAAGAGGACATAGAAATAACCTTTGTATACACAAGTGAATACGATGTTAGAACAAGACATGCAAGGGAAAGCATAACTGTAAAGTTTACACAGGTACAATTTTCCAATGCAAATAAGTCACTGAGTGTTAAATATCTTGTATCAGAGTATTAATTACAAAGCCCATGCCTCTGGTAGTCAATCCTCCCAGTGGCACGCTATGCTTGTACCATTTGGCAACCTTCCAATGTTTTTTTATTTTCCAAATAACCCAAAGAGCTTAACTCTGCTAAGCAGAGATAACATGCAATTCCCAATGGAATGCTAGAGGTTGCACAGCAATCAGTTTGCTACTGAGTAGCACAGTTCAGGCTATTAGCCCAACATACAAGTATCCTAATACAGACATACGGCAATCTTAGTTAAGACAGAATTTACGAGGACCAAAAAGCTCTGTTTCAAATATACAGATCAATTTTATTCCTGTAATGGCACATGCTAGGTTCCAATTACAAATCCTAATTTGAAATTTGACATAATGATAGCCTGAAATATTTGCTACTTCAGGAAGGCAAAGCTCCCCCCCAATATCTCTCTTCCTTCTTCGCATTACAATTGCAACACATGTTCATTTATTGTGTCTTTGGACATAGGCAAATCTCTCATCATTCCTTCCTCTGCCAATACCTACTCCATTTCTTAGTGAAGAAGAAATGGAAACAGTCATTGGTTGCAAGTTATTTACATGAGATTCTGAATTATTTACCTTGATTTTTTTCAGCTTCTTCTACAGAACCAATATATTTGGTAGCAACTTCAGGGTTATCTATAGAGGGATCTAATGCATAACCTAGAACAAGAAGAAAAAAAATACTGTTATTTCAAGTTTTTTAGTTTTGTACAACTTCTATTACTCTCTCTCCACTGCTACATTTCATGTTTTTTTTTTTTCCTGCT